CGGTTACTTTGGGGTAATAGAGGTTCCTGTGATACAGGAGGTCCCTGCAGAGCCTGGTTCTCAGCTGAGTGAACGTTTCCTTCCTACTGGGTGGCCAGGGGAGCTGGGAGAAATGCTTTTGGCTGGTACCCTCCCCCATGGGTGGGGAGCAAGATGAGCTCTAGAACTTCTTGTCTGCGGGCTCCAAGGACTGTAAACCCTGGAGGCTCCGGAGGACACAGAGCCCAAGGATGGAGGGAGGGACACCCCAGGCTGGTCCAGCAGCACCAGGCCCTCTGCACAGCTTCTTGGTTTTGTTAGGAATGATGCTGCCTCCTCCTTCCCTTTAAGGGACGTTTCAAAACTTCTTTTTCTAAAGATTCCCTTTAGCTGTGAGTGCCAGGAGTGATTCTTGATCTATGTGCTCGTTACTGTGCATTTAAGTACAAGAGTGGAAAAACGCTTACCTGACTCCACAGCCATCCCTTCTTTCAGGGGCTGACCTGACAGTACGCAATAGGGACATGCAGGGACTTGCTTTGCTGTCTGTGCTGTGTGGAAAGAATTCGACCTAGGATGCAGAGCTCCCAGCCCTGAATACTTGTCACCTGGGCTCCAGAGATAAGCGTAGTTCCCGTGTTTTGTTTTATCAAGATACCACCAAAATATGCCATTAAAAATGGTTCTATGCAAACAACTGAGATGTGGATTATGCATTAGTCTCCTAGACCCAAGAACTCTGAGTGATGGTGACATGACATGTGAGTCACTGCCCTGGCCATCCATCCATGTGCTGTGAGAAACATTACAAAACAGACATTAAAAGGTTAAGAGGAAAAGAGGGGTTAATCCCAAAGCTTGGTGTGTTGAAAGTACACATCAGCTCCTTTGGCCCATATTTTATGGGTGCAGCAGTTTAGTTCATGTTGAGATGAGCATCCATGGAGAGGGATGCACGTGTTCCTGTGAGGTAACTCACAGAGGCTGTGCCATTAGCACCAGTGGACAGTGCTGTGTAGGTCAACCAGCAAAGGTTAAGTGGCTCTAAGCTGCCATAACAGCATGTAACAAAATTTCATGGATTGCCAACTGGAGAGATTTTTGACTCAGTACCCTTGAATGTTACTAACATTTAAGTGATGTTCATTTTTTTACTAAAATAACTTCTACAGGATATATTGGGCCCTTAAAATTAATTCTCTATATTATCACAGCCATTTTATAAGCCTCACATATGTAAGAAATTAAAATAATAATTAGACTTTTGGGTGTTACCATTACTGGAACATGCACCAAACAGAAAATAAATATTTTTTAGGATTTTATTCAGAATCCCATATAAATACATTAGTAACACAGAGCACTTGTAATGTATCAAAATGTTATTAGAACATTCTAGATAGTCTAACTTCCATAACAATCCAATAATAGTGTAAAGAAGTTCAGTTGAGATCAATCTTCAGTATGAACAAGGACCCCCCAAAAATGTAGTAGCATATTGAATTTGCCTCTTTAACCTTTTGCCCAGACTTTGGTTTTGTCCTTCTCTTGTCACTGACTGGTCATTTGAAGACCATCGTGTCTTCCTTATTGTGAGATCACAGGGCCTCTTTTTCATTCCCTTCCTTCTGGAAGGCTCAGAAGAATGTTGACACCATTAGTCCCCTCTGCAAAGTCCCCACAGGCCTCCTCAACTCCAGGCCACCCCAGTTCTCAGTCTTGCTCTCAAGGGAATAAATATGCCTTCTGAGGCCTGAAGGGGAGGCAGGCTCTCTGGGTCCTGGGTGACTTCTCTCCCTCCCAGACCCTCCAGGTTTCCTTACATCTTCTGGCCCTGAGGTGTCTCATCTTTACAAGCACTCAGGAGCTACCTGACCATTTTCCTCCTATGTCTAAAATTTCCTGAAAGAACTTTGCCAGAAGACTAAGGGGGGAAGCAATAATGAAAATAAAATGTGAAGGACAAAGCAAGTTTCGAGGCACAAATTCCAAGCATAGAACACAAACATGGTGGACTCCTGGGAGAACTTGTCAGAGCACCCTGAGGGTGGTCCCTTCCCTCCACCGTCTGCAGGGAGGGTCTCTGGTCTCCAGCTCTGCTCAGTCTCCAGCCCTCACCCACCTTGTCAGATCAGGTGCCCTTCACAAAGCACCCACCACACATTGCCACCTTTACAGGCCCCAGGGGCAATGAGTTGATTCTGTATCCTTTTCTTCCTTTGTGCTGCATTTTTGTGATGTGTGTCTCTAAACTGTTCTTTGCACTTTGGTCCTCACCTGGGAGAGGAGGAGCCACCCTGTGGACCCTCTTCCCAGCTGCTTCCAACCCCTCATCTCCAGCTTCCTGCTGAACACTTGCACTCAAATCTCCCGCCACTGCTTTTAATCCACACAGTCACCAAACTAAAGTCTTCATCTCCTCTTCCATTCTCAAGTTAGCGCCCCTCCCCAGTGTTCTTCTCTTTAAATCCTCCCCCACACCTGCAGCATCCCCCATAACTTGCCCACTCACAAGGCTCAGGCATGTAAGACTTGTCTTTCATTTCTACTCTCTCACCCCTGGCTCTGGTCAGGCACTACAATGCTGCTTTAATTTTTGTGTTCAGAGTCTCTCCTCTCTGTTTTTTCTCTTTTTCATTCGCCCTCCTGTCATCCAGCTCAGCCTTCAACACTCACTCTGAGGTTGCCACACATCCTCCCTGAGTCTCTGTGGACTTCTTTCTTGAACAACACTTCAGCATCTCTCTACCCTAGGTGGGTTAGTGGCTTTCTAGTGCTTTGGTTCATGTGCACCACCAGGCTTACTGAATGCCTACTGTGTGCAAACATGGCCACAGCCTAGCTCCATGTGCTCAAACAGCCATTAAATTCACTGCTTTCTGACCCAATGCCCTATTTCAATGATCACACATATTCCCATTGCCATAAGAACATTGTTCTGCTCTTGAAGTGTACTTCCTTCAGCTTCCCCTGTACTCAAAGCCACATCTCCTAAGCCCAGCTCAAATCCTGCTCTTCCTTGGCTACATCTTTTAATACTAATATCCTTCTTCAGCGAAATCACTCTGCCATTGTAGAGCTCTCCATTCTTCTGAATATTCCCATCTCCACCAATACATCTCAAGATAGAGTTCATGATGTTTTAATTTTTTTTATTGTATTTACTTAGTTTTTAGAGAGCAGAAGGGAGAGAGAAAGAAAGGACGAGAAATGTCAATGTGTGCTTTCACCTCACACATATGTGCCTGGGGGCCTGGTCTGCAACCCAGGGATGTGCTCTAGACTGAGAATCCAACCAGACACCCTTTCATTCACAGGCTGGCCTGAACCACTGAGCCACATCAGCCAGGGCAAGTCCATATTTAAAATGGAAAGCACACCACCTGCAACAGCATAGGGGTAGAGCTTCAGGTCCCACAGGAAGTTCGGTCTGCCCCAGGTTCTCATGGGTCATGTACACTCGCCATGCCATTGGTCCTGTGCCCAAGAGGCATACATCCAGCAGAGTGGAGGGCAAGGCTAGGGCCAAGGGCCGAGTTAGGGGCCTTATGACAGTCTGGGTTGACAGCGTCCCCACAAGCCCAGAGGGATGGCTGTGGGGTCTGTGAAGCAGTCAGAACCTATAGCTTGGAGAAGACACAGGGTGTAACCTAGAACAGTTCCCTGACATCTGACACTTTCACAGGAGAGTGGGTGGTTTCATGTTCAATAATTAAGTTTCTCAGTGAAAACTTGTTACCGTCTAAGATCACGGACAGCAGAGCAGATGGCAGTGACAATATGGGGCAAGGGGGCTGGTTAGTTAGATACATGAAGGCTAAGATTTCTCTGCAGAGCTCCAATGAGCAAAACAAAGAGTTGGAAGTTTATTCTAAAAGAGGGTTAACATAGCCTATTTTTTTTTAGATCAGAGGGAGTAAGGTTGGTTTGTTTATTTGCATTTAAACCAATTACTAAAAAGTCATATTGTTAAGTATTTTAAGGTTCAACATGATAGAGTTTTGTTTATCCCCCTGGAGAATGATATGTGCACTCACAGCTTAGCCCACTTTCCTTACTGCACAGACTGCCTGTGAGAAGAGCAGTGCTTTCCTTCCTTCCAGCTGGAGCATCTGGCCTGTTTGAGCAGAGACGACATGGAGGACTCCGTGTAGTCTTGGTCCCGTGTATTCGAGGAGCACTGTCACCTTCACAAAGAGGGCCCAGGGGTCTCACTTCCCTCCATCTGAGTCTAGTTCACTGTATATGCCCACAACCTGCACCTTGCTGATACAGCCATGGGTGGTGAGGACACATGTGAACTGAGTGAACCATTTATGCAACATTTGCAAAGAGAAAAAGTCAAAAGGAAAATTCAGAAGTGAAGGAAGTAGCCGATTAACAAGGCAGTAGTTATGAAGGTGGAATAGGCATGGTGCAACGTGGGAAAAAGCTGCTCTAACCTCACATGAGGAAGATGGGCAAGATTAGGAATGGCGCACAGCACGGGAAGCCACAGAGTTCCTGTAGAGACCAAGCCTGGAAGAGCCCAGGGAGGAGTGAGGAGGCTGTGAGAGGTCCTTGTCCCTGAGGCAAGTCACTTGTCTTTCTATCTTGTTTTCTCATCTCTGAACTGAGTTAAGCAATCTGTGTTTGTTTCATTTAATCCAAGCTTTTGCAGGTTAACATAGCTCAGCATGATATCAGTGCTGTAGACCTTGGTTTAACCTATGTGGCAGAATACACACAAACATGTAGAGAAAGTACACACATGTAGACACATGCACACAGTTGTACCCAGTACACACATGTACTCAAGTATACTCACACACATTCACATGCACACACATTTTCATGTACACATGTGTGTGAAAGCTCTGCAGCACAGCCCACATTGGAAAGTGGGAGGACAGCACCCAATGACACGATATCTAACCCCTATGCACAACATCACCTGCCCCTTAGAGCTGTTGGACTACAGCTCACCTGTCCTGCCTGCATATTAACAAGGGTATTTTCTTACAGGCTGACAGTGTGGAGCAATGGGTGACTGGAGTCTTCTGGGGAGACTATTAGATGCTGCACAGGAGCGCTCCACAGTGATTGGGAAGGTCTGGCTGTCAGTCCTGTTCATTTTCCGGATCCTGTTGCTGGGAGCTGGGGTGGAGTCAGTGTGGGGAGATGAGCAGTCAGGCTTCACCTGCAACACCAAGCAGCCAGGCTGTGAGAACGTCTGCTATGACCAGGCCTTCCCCATCTCCCACACCCGCTTCTGGGTGCTGCAGATCATCTTTGTGTCCACGCCCACCCTCATCTACCTGGGGCACGTGCTGCACATTGTGCGCATGGAACAGAAGAAGAGAGGGCACGAGGAAGAGCAAGTGAAGGGAGACAACGACCAAGTCCAGAGGAACAGGCACCCAGTGCAGGATGACCAGGGAAATGTCCGCATCGCTGGGGCCCTGCTTTGGACCTACGTCTTCAACATCATCTTTAAGATGCTATTTGAAGTGGGCTTCATTGCTGGACAGTACTTTCTGTATGGCTTTCAGCTGAAGCCACTCTACCGCTGTGACAGGTGGCCCTGCCCCAACACGGTGGACTGCTTCATCTCCAGGCCCACAGAGAAGACCATCTTCATCATCTTCATGCTGGTTGTGGCCTGCCTGTCCCTCTTACTCAACATGCTGGAGATATACCACCTGGGCTGGAAGAAGCTTAAACAGAACGTGAAAAACCATTATGGCCCTGACACTCCTGACTCAACAGTTGGAGATGTGATCCCGCTGCCCTCCTGCTAGGCCACAGCCACTGGTACTGTGGGGTGCCCTCCTTACTATACTCACTCTGCCTTTTCCCTGGGACAGGAAGTGGCCACAGCCTGTCCTGGCTCCCCCCACCAGCAACTGACCTCAATGTGACAGCCCCACCCCTGACACGGGGGAAGAGCCTCCCTGACAAATTGTACAACAGTAACCATCACCTGCTAATGACAGAGCAGAACTGGGCCAACCAGGAGACCAAGCAGAAGACATCTGTTAGGAAGGTCCCCCCTGCCCATGTCCACATCTTCCTCCTTTACCCCTCCAGGCAGCCCCCAGCCACTCCCACAGGAGGACAGAGTAGGCAGCAAGGAGTCTGTCCAGCTGGAGAATGGGGACGGCAGCAGCTTGGGAGAGAGCAGACTGGAAGTGATTCCCGATGAGGGGCAGCAGGCAGTGACCACTGCTGTGGAGATGCACCTGCCCCATTTGCCCCCCACAGACCCCAGACAGTCAAGCGGGGCCAGTGAGTCCAGTGGCAGTCGGGCCAGACCCAATGACTTGGCCATCTAGTCAGCTCTATAATGACCTCTTTTCTAGCCACCAAAACCAAAGTGCACTTCAAATGAGCAGGTAGAAAGCCTAGAGGGACAGAGGGCACTGGAGCAGGGGAGGGGGAAGGTCATCAGAGAGGTCTGGTTTCTGTGTCAGTGCTTGCTGTCCTCCATGCTGGTGGGGTGGGGAGAACACTGATGCTTTCTATGGGGGGGGGGTGGGGGGAAAGTAGGGTGCAGGGGCTGATGGCCTTTGAAGGTATTCACTGCAACCCACAGCCCAGAATCCAGCCACTTTCTCAGGTGTTTCTGTCTCTCGGGCAACTCTTCTGCGGTGATAAAGAGGCAGGTGTCTGCAGTCACTTCATTTTGGGGTCATTAGGTTTTCTGTCCTGAGCTCTCCAGAGCCTCTGGGCAGCCCAGAAGGCCACAGCTGCACTTAGCGCTATCTTCTATTCAACACTTGTAACGTAGAGTCAAAGTTAATTTGGGATATTTGCCAGACTGCACTAACAGGAGACTTAGAGCAAGCCTGTGTAGTGTCACTGGAGATTCTGAAACTTCACATGAAGCCCAGGATGTGCAAGTGCAGGCTGCATGACAAGTGACAATGATGAGCCACTCCCCAGAGGCAGAGATTCGTGGGTGAGGGCACAGAGGCAGCTGGGAAGAAAGCAGGTGGAAATGCAGCCACACTTCACATCACTTTTAACAGCTGAGGAAACCGAAATAAAAGCGTGGCAGGCCCACTTTTGTGTTTGTTTTTCAATTACATGTTTCTGCTTTGAATTGTACAGATAGGCCTATGTCCCCACTCTCTCCCTTTCAGGAAAAAAACGAGAGAAATTTAGGACTGTTACATGGATGCTGACTGAGGGAGTGCTCACGTTTCCCATTTGCTACTAGTAAAGATTTGAATTTCTTTTACCTGAAATGCTTTGAGTGCATGAGTCAGCTTATTACTAGGACAATGTACCAGATAAAATACAAGCATAGAAAAACTTAAGTGACTTTTATGTACCTGAAATTATCAACTTTTTGAATGGGAAAAGTTAGCTGCTGTTCCCCCCAAAAATTATTTATACTGGTGAATGCATGACCTACACCTTTCTAACAGCACAAATGAGTCTGTGTTTGTTTCCTAACCATTCTGTTTGGGCAACTTGTTTGCTTTCTAAAGTGTAAATAAAAGTGTCTGGATTTGTTCCCCGTGTAAGTACATGTGTGGTTTTGTGCGTGTGCTGATTTGGCATCCACGCAGATGGCCGCTGTGACAGGGAAGGCTGTCACCCACTTGTGTGGGTGGGTGTGGCTGGAAGACGACAGCATTTTCTGTGCTGCACACATGCTGCTCTGTCTCAGTCACTGTCTGTCTGATCGGACCAGCAGTGGTGATGCTGAGCCTGGTCCTCGTCATACTTTTCACCCCGGTCACTGATTGTAGTTATCCCTTATTCAGCCAAACACTGTACACTGTCTATTTGATCTGTTTCTTTTTGTGAATTCCTCAATTTTCTGATGAATCTTTTGTGACTCTCTAACAGTCTGATGAGCAGACTCTGATTCCTGCCCTCTGATTAATGTGAGCAGATAGTTCATTAGTGCGTTCAGCTCACTCTGGGACTGGCTGGACCACATCCCTGGCTTGAACTGCAGCCATACCCACCCACATCCTACAGCCTCTCTCAGACACATTGACAAGGAGAGGGTGAACCCTATGGAAAATATCTGAGAGACTGTTGTCTCAGTTCTTCTGGGGCTGGCATGGAAGTAGTGCCACAGTGGATGCCCGGGAGCAGAAGGTCATCACCACATACAGGGGATCCTGGGACTTTGGCAGTGAGGCTGATATGTCCTGGCTGAGAAGAGCTTCTAGAAAATCCTAGTGTGAAGAGCACTGTGACAGAGAAGCTGTGGTTTTTTAGAAAGTGCAATAGCAGTTATCAGAAGGGGAAAGTGCAGCTTGCTGAGTGAGTGTGAATCTCATCCATTTCCATAGGTTCCACCCTGGAGACTGTTAATAATGATGGGAAGCTTCTTGTTCACCTTGATTTGATGGAGAGTAAGGCTGGAGGTGAGGGTGAGACCATGGTGGTTGTATTTAGTTCTTGCATTTTAAAATTGGAGACCTCCATGTGTCACAAAGAAGCCAGTATTGTGCAGTTGGTTATGGTCTAGTTGGGTCATTCAGAACCAGGTAAGTATAAAATTAGGTCCACCTACCTTGGCCCTGACTCACCCATGAGATCAGAGGAGGCTGGGCCTGAACTGGAAGGGAAAGGGATGGTGGTGCAGGGTCTGGTGTGGTTGGGATGCAGCCATGGATGGAGATGCAGTTGTAGGTAGGGATTTAGGTTCCCATGGCACTACAGGCGCAGGTGGGGACTGGGCGGTAGGTGAACATGCAGGAATGGTTTCAGGTGTGGAAGGCAGGGAAGTATAGGGTTGGGGTGTGGCTGGTGGTGGGCTGCCATTTACAAGGTGCATCCCAGCATGGCAGTGGTAGAGAAGGTCTTGGTTATGTGAGGTGGGAGCAGTGTTTCAAGGACCATGTGCTGGAGGAGCAGGTAAGTGCAGGGTGTGGGCAGGCCCCAGGCCCCAAGACCCAGGACTCCAGATGGCCTCTGGGAATTCTTCTGGGAATCTTTGGAAGTTGTGGGCACAGCAGGGATGGAGAGTGGTGTTCAGGGAATTCCTGAGGTCCCTTTGGGGTAGTTGAAGTTGCTGTTCTGCTGGAGGTCCCTATGGAGCTGGGTTCTTGGCTGAGTAAAGCGTTCTGAGGGGGTGCTGGAGGCTGAGATGAAATGCTTTCAGGGGTTGTGAGGTGGACACAGAGCCCCGGGATGGAGGGAGGGGCACCCCAGGCTGGTCCAGCAACACCAGGCCCTCTTGCACAGCTTCTTGGTTTTGTTAGGAATGATGCTGCCTCCTCCTTCCCTTTAAGGAATGTTTCAAAACTTCTTTTTCCAAAGATTCCCTTTAGCTGTGAGTGCCAGGAGTGATTCTTGACCTGTGTGCTCATTACTGTGCATTTAAGTACAAGAGTGGAAAAACGCTTACCTGACTCCACAGCCATCCCTTCTTTCAGGGGCTGACCTGACAGTACGCGATAGGGACATGCAGGGACTTGCTTTGCTGTCTGTGCTGTGTGGAAAGAATTCGACCTAGGATGCAAAGCTCCCATCCCTGGATACTTGTCACCTGGGCTCCAGAGATAAGCATAGTTCCCGTGTTTTGTTTTATCAAGATACCACCAAAATATGCCATTAAAAATGGTTCTATGCAAACAACTGAGATGTGGATTATGCATTAGTCTCCTAGACCCAAGAACTCAGAGTGATGGTGACATGACATGTGAGTCACTTCCCTGTGTGCTGTGAGAAACATTACAAGACTTAATATTACTTATGTTTTTACTTACATCTTTTACTTTGTGGTTTTTTGTTCTTTTGCATTTCCTTTGAGTGTTTGGTTAGATTTTTATTAGAGATTTTTCTTGTTTTTTTGAGATAGGCATGTATTTCCATGAATTTACCTCATAGGAGTGCTTTTTTCTATGTCTCATACATTTTGGATTGGTGGGTTTTGTATTTATTTGTATCAAGGTATCTTTGGATTCTTTTTTTTTACTGTTGTTCAAGTACAGTTGTCTCCATTTTCACGCCACCATACTCTGCTCCACCCAACCCCACCTCCCACCTTTAAACCTACTTCATTTAGCTTTGTCCATGCGTCCTTTATACATGTTTCTTGACAGCCTATCCATTTTGACAGTGGGATGTTAAAATCCCCTAGTATAAGTGCATTGCTGTCTATATTTTTCTTGGAGTCCTCCAAGATTTTCCTTACATATTTGGGTGCTTTTATGTTGAGTACATATATGTTTATAATGTATATGTATTCTTGATGTATTCTTTCCTTAAGTATTGTGAAGTGTTGTTCAGTGTCTCTTTTTATGACTTTTGTCCTGAAGTCTATTTTGTCTGATATAAGTATTGCAACTCCATAAGTATTTTTCCTGTCCATTTGCTTGGAATATTTTTTTTCCATCCCTTTACTTTCAGTCTGTGTAGGTCTTTTTTTCTGAGGTGCTTCTCTCAGGCAGCATATGTGCAGGTCATGTTTTTTTACCCATTCAGCTACCCTATGTCTTTTGATTGGATCATTTAATCCATTAACAGATAAGGTTATTATTGATAGGTACTTATTCCTTTATCCCCTTTTGTACCTGTGTTCCTCTCTCTCTCACTCTTTCCCTTCCTTTTCTTATAGCAGTCCCTTTAGCATACCTTGCAGAGCTGGTTTAGTGCAGGTATATTCTTTTAGCCTTCTTTTGTCTGGGATACTCCTTATTTCACCTTCCATTTTCATTGAGAGCCTCACTGGGTAGATTAGTCTTGGTTGCAGGACTTTGCCTTTCATTACTTGAAATATTTTTTTGCCATTCTCTCTTGGCCTGAAGTGTGTCTGTTGAGAAATCAGCTGCTAGCCTTATTGGAGCTCCCTTGTATGTTACTTCTGGTTTTTCCCTTGCTGCTTTTAAGATTCTCTCTTTGTCTTTAAAACTCAGCATTTTAATTGTGATGTGTCTTGGAGTAGGCCTCTTTGGGTTTATCTTGATTAGGACCCTCTGTGATTCCTGAACTTGCATAGTTTTCTCCTCTCCCAGTATGGAAAGTTTTCTGTCATTATTTTTTCAAACAGCATTTCTATCCCTTACTCGTTTTCTTCTCCCTCTAATATTCCTATGATTTGAATATTGTTGCATTTCATGTCTTGCAGTTCCCTTAAACTATCCTCATATTTTTTTAGTCTTTTTTCATGCAGCTGCTCTACCTGGTTGTTTTTTCTACCTTGTCTTTCAGCTCACTAATTTGGTCCTCTGTGTCATCCAGTCTGCTTGTAATTTCTTCCAGTGTGTTTTTTTATTTCAGAAATTTATTCTTCATTTCTTCCTTGTTCTTGCTTATAGTTTCTATTTCCTTTTTCATACTGTTGTATTATCACTCAGTTCCATGTAGTTGTCTGTGGTTTCCTTGAGCATCCTTGTAACCATTCTTTTGAATTCTATATCTGATAGTTTGCTTGCCTCCATTTCATTTGGGTCTTCTAATGGGGAG